TTGGGAATGATCTTTGGAAAGTGCTACCAAAGGCACAATCCACAAGAAAGAAAATAAACATTCCAGGCTACATGAAAATACAAAGTTTCTGCATGGCAAAGGGTGTAGCATCAGCAGGATGTGAAAGCTTCCAGGGAGTGGGAGAAAGGTTGCAAACCATATATTTGATAAATGATTAATATATAATGAATAAGGATCTCGTACAACTCAAACCATATATTTGATAAGTGATTAATATATAATGTATAAGGATCTCGTACAACTCAACAGGGAAAAGCAAAATTCCCCACTTCAAAGTGACAAAGAATATGAAAACACTTTTCTAAGCCTTTTTCTTCTGTTCACTGCAATACATTGTTTCCACTAGTTTTCTTCTGTCAGTTAATATCAAGTTACTTTTCCCTTTATTTTCTTTTTTTTTTCTTTATTTTTTAATAGAGACATGTTTTATTTATTTGTTTGTTTGTTCGTTTGTTTGTTTGTTTGTTTGTTTATACATGTACTGGATACAGTCAGAAGTGAGGGAGTGTGAGAGAATTCACCAGAGCCAGAGTGGGGAGCAGAGCAGGCAGAAGGACCGAAGTACACTGCTGAGGGGAGCAGCGGGCGGCAGGAGAGGTCTGTGTGCCATGTGGGACCCTCCTCCTATGGCCAGGGAGTAGCCGGGGATCGAACCAGCGCCACAGAGGCCACGGGTAGCTTCACAACCCAGCGCTCAACCTCTGCACCACCAGGGAGGCTCTCCCTTTACTTTCAAATCAGAAGCTTCACACACTACCTGTGTAACCTTAGTCTCTCAGTTCATCATTGGAGGTGGGACGTTGGCAGGGGAATCTGCGTCATGGGCAGAGCTGGTGCACAGCTGAGCTTCCTTGGGAAGAGGATGCAGAGGATTTGAAAGGTCTTGAATACTCGTTTTTAAAGGAGTCAGTTTTTCCAGAAAGGACATCCACCCATTATTATACCAATTTAATATAAAGCTGCTCATTTGAATTTTGTAAAAGATCTTGAGATGCAACCAAGGGCTTCAAGATAGAGTCTCTTTTCAATGAATACATCTATTGTGGATAATTGTGCCCCTGCTGCCACTTTGCAAAGCCTGGTGTCTCCAAGGCTGCTTTCTGCTGTCACCTTAGTCATTTTGAGAGCTGTTTCACTTAATTGCACTTGGTTTTCATTCCTCTTGGGGAACTTTCTAACTAGTGCTTCAATCATGTGGTCTCTTAATTGGCTTGTCGGATCCATTTTTCTATTATTCAATGTTGGCACAAAACATGCTTCAGGGACTCAGGCATTCCTGCCAGGTTACATGATAGGTAATTGTTCACAATCAGCCATTATTCTCTATTTTATTTGTGTGGTAACAGTTGCAATCCCTCTTTTATTTTTTATTTTATTCAGCTCCTGTCTTTGGCTCCCTGGTCTCACTAAGGGCTTGCCTATCTTATCTTTCAAAGAAAAGCTGTCATTTTTTTTTGTGGATTTTTCTACTATTTATTTAATTTGTTTGTTGCACTGACATGGGGGTTTGTGTCGCTTTATTGTCCAATATGCATATATCTGTAGAGTGGAATTACTGGGTCATATAACATTTATGTTCTTATTTTTTAAAAGAAGCCTCCACAGCTTTCCACATGAGGGCACTTATCTGCACCCTCACCAGCAGTGCTCCCTTCTCCCCGCATCCCCTGACTCCCAGATGACATGCCGTTGTTGCCTCATGATTTGACTGTGTTCCCTGGGGATGAGTGATGTCAAGCACTTTCTCAAGGGCCTGTGGCCATGTCTGTTCAGATTGTCTGCATGTTTTTTAGTCTGATTGTTGAGGCTTTGCTACTGGGTGTATGAGTTGTTAATATTTTTGGAAATTATGTCTTATCAAATATATAATTTGCAAATAACTTCCTCCATTTGATCAGTTACAGTTTCATTTTGTTGATAGCTCATACTTCTTTTATTTAGTGAAAATATTTCATGATTTTTAGCTATTTTCTTAAAATCAGCAAAGAAACTATGTTTATGTTCAATATATTGCCTTTTCTTGAGACATGATTCTCTAAGTCCCTAAGAGTCCAGAAATGTTATTACATCAAGAGATTTATCGTGCTAAACAGCCATATTGCCTAAAAACACTTAATGAAAATGATATTTTTGTCACTTAGACACGGGTTTATATTTCTATACATTGAGCCACGTCTGGGCTGTGCCACAGCATGAATAAAAGGGGCGCTCAGCACAGCCCCAAAGAAACAGATTCAACGGAGCGAGGAGGTGCCTCCCAGTCCGGGTTCCCGACAGCCGGGGTAACGCTGCTCAGGGAGAGGCAACAAAGGTCCCGGGGCGGCTTGATGCAGGGGTGCGGGGGGAGCTCCCACACGCCTCGACGCCCTCCCTCGGGGGGCCACACCGGGCTGGCCGTGCTCCCGCAGAAAGAACTTCACCTTCTGTGTGACTCCCCTCACCGGGGCTGTGCTGTGTTCACCCGTGGGAGCTCCTGTTGGGGTGCAGGGGAGACCCCTGTGTGTCTGAGTGTACCTTAGTGACCTCCGTGCCGCAAGGCTCCAGCCACAGTGTCCACCAGGTGCAGGGCACTGCGGTCCTCACTGGGCCTCCCAGAGCGGCCCAGGAATATAATGTGAAAACTTACAATACGTGTCTCATAATGGAGTCATGACATCAACTTCTCTGTTACATTTTGCTGAGTCTCCCCTTCATCAGTCTCCCCACAGCTGACTTCATGGCTTGGTTCCTCAGACTGCCCTCTATATTCCAGAGGTCTGTGTGTCTGTTTTTGTCCCAGTGCCATGCTGCTTTAAGTATTAGTGCTTTAGTGTATGGACTGGAGTCTGGAATGTGCTGCCTCCACCATGCTTCCTCATTTTGTCGGGATTTTTGGTTGTTGCATATGCATTTCTGTAATGTTTGTTTTATATCCTTGGAGAATGCCATTGAAGTCCTCAATGGGATTGCATTGAATCTGTAAACTACTTTGGGTCAGATGGTCATTTGGTAATGTTGATTCTTCCAAGCCTAGAGCAGGGAATATCTTTCCATTTCTTTGTCTTTTCTATTTCTTTTAACAACGCATTACACTTTCCTTGTATCTTCACTTCCTTAGTTGTGTCTACTCCATGGTACTTAGTCTCGTGGTTATAAGTGGGATGGTTTTCTTCACTTCTCTTCTAGTTCAATTTTTGGGTATATGAAGGCAATTGATTTTTGTGTGTTGATTTTCTAATCTAGCTACACTGAAGTGGCTTATTGATTTAATTTGTTTTTACGGTGGAATCTTTAGTGTTCTTAGTGTGTATTATACGTCCACAACAAATTTAATTGTGCTTAAATGTTTAAAGCCATACAACCTAGAGACAGTCAATGTTTTATTAATTTAAAAATTTCAATTATATTATACAAAGGTGATAAAATGAATAGTCTTACTATAGTCTTAGTATAAATTTATAAGTCTTAGTATGAATAGCCTTAGTATAAATTTATAATAGTCTGATTCAGCTTCTTCATTCAATACATGTTTTGAATTCTCATTGTATCCCATAATCTATTCTTATTATATTCCATAACTTTTATTGACCAGTAAGATATGACAGTATCAATAATTAATATTATGAAAGTTATTTATCAATTGATAAATAAAAATACCAATGATTTAAAAGAACAGTAGCAAGTTGTCAACCTAGAAGTTTATATATCTAGTTTTTGCCATCATTTAACTATTCCTGGCTGCCTCCAATCTGACATTGTGCACACATGGGACTCGCCTGGACTGAAGGCAAGATCAGTCTGATTAGCGCCCTCAGAGCGTGAATGTCTGAGAATGAGTAAAATGTCTGCTATCCAGTTGGAACTGCATATTATCATGAAATCATTTGGTGTGAACTTTTCAAACATTGGACGTTACAGGTGGGCAAGCAGGGGTTGATGCATTCAGCAGATAAGAGTTGAGGCCAGACAGCAGCCACACACTTGGGCTTTTCACTTCCCAATTTTAAATCTTCTTCAAATTCTTTATGTCCTTACGTCTACAATAAATAATAGCATTATTTATGATATGTAGATCTGAAGAGTTTTCTTGTTTGAACAATTCCATATGGAAACACAAACACTCTGAGATCCCATAATAACGTGTGCAAAAAGATATTGGCCTCAAATTCCCAGGTGTTCTTGGTAATTAAATAAATATGGATAAACACACGTGTAAAGTGTGGCGTGATGTTGTGAGTGTCATTCCTCAACTATTTCGGGAAATATTAGAATATTGTGTATTCCACTAGCTATTATTTTGTTTTTACCAGTAAAGCTTCCTAAGTTCCTTTATTGTTTCTTAAAAACCCTACCCATTATATACTCGCAATGTTTTAGTGATTATACTGCACGTGAAATTAACTGCTTTCACTCACTGTCTTATTTCTGGTGTCCACTGTATGCTGAGTGTGTTTACAGTAAACACCGTCAGCACCCACACCAGAGCTTCCCGAAGGGTCTCTATCACATCAGGCGTGGTCCTTATCGACAGAAGGTCATGACTGCTCAGATTCTACTACAGATCCCAAGGCCTTATTAATTCTGTGAAGGCCTCACTCACTAAGTAAAGGGGCCTCTGTCCTATCCGTGATCCCTGATCAGCGACATGAAAGGGGAAGCACCATAGAGACTGGAGATGCTGCCCCGTGAGAGAACTTCTGCTTATGACTGAGATGAAACCCAACAATCGCCACTCTCAGCCGAGAGCACAGAATGGAGATCAGCAGAAAGAGGCTGAGGTCCAATCACCCCAGTACACACAGAATACCAAAGAACATTCAGTGCCAAAAGAGCAAAATACAAGCTATAGGAGTATATGAAGTATCTTAAATATAATTTAAAAATAAGCATATATTTTTTTAAATTATACAATGGAATTAAACATAACTATAAGAATATAAAGAATGATGAAAAATTTAAAATAAATGTCTTGTAATAGAGTTGTGAACTAATCTTCTCTATTATATTTTGGTGAGTCTCCCCTTCATCAGTCTGCCCATAGCCGACTTCATGGCTTGGTTCCTCAGACTGTATGTGACGGGATTAAAGGTGGGGGTCACCATCGTGTAGAACATAGAAATGACCAGGTCAGACATGGACGGAGTCTCTGAGGTCGGCTTCAGATAAGCAAAGAATCCAGCGGAGAGAAACAGCACCACAACCAGCAGGTGGGGAAGGCAGGTGGAGTAGACTTTGGCCTTCCCTTCTGTGGATGGGATCTTCCTGACAGCAGAGAAGATGTGGATGTAGGAAATGATGATGAAAATAAAACAGCAGGAATCCAACACCACATTAATGAGAATGGGGACAAGTTCTCTCATTAAATTTTCTGAGCAGGAAATAGCCAATAACTGGGGGATGTCACAGAAGAACTGGTGGACCAGTTTGGACCTGCAGTAGGACAATGAGAAGGTTCCAGCTGTGTTCATCACAGACATGACACACCCACTCAGCCAGGACACGGCTGTCAGCTGCACACACCTGTCCCTGCTCATGATGAAATCATAGTGCAGGGGGTGGCAGATGGCAGCATAGCGGTCAAGGCTCATCACCGTGAGCAGGTAAAGCTCTGAACCTGCTGAGAAAATCATCACAAAGACCTGGAGGACACAGCCCGGGAAGGAGATGGAGCTGCTGTGCCTCAGAGAGTTGGCAATGAACTTGGGAACTGTGGCTGAGATGAGGCAGAAGTCCGTGAAGGACAGACTCCTCAGGAAGAAGTACATGGCGGTGTGGAGGTGCCGGTCCAGGGTGGTGATGAGGACGATGAGCCCGTTCCCCAGCAGGGCACACAGGTAGACCAGGGAGAAAAGCATCGGGTGCAGGAAGACCATGGTCCCCTGGGTGGGGAAACCCAGGAGCACAAATTCTGTCACAGCCGTGAGATTCTTCCCCCCTGGAGCCATTACTGCATGAACGTCTAGAGGAATAAAGTGCCGGGACCATCTACCAGTGCTGGACCTGCGGTGTCTCTTTGCAAGTGACCAGCATTGTCCTTCCCCACTGACCTCTCTCCATGCCCTGGTTGGCGCTCCACCCGCAGGGATCTCAGCTCCTGCTCTGCTTGGCCTCACCAGCTTCAGTGACTAACAGGTGCCGCCACTGTCCACGCCGCCTGTGGGAGAAGCTGTAGGGCAGAGAGTTCAACTGACCTCAGCTCCCTGAGCAGTCTCCTCCCGTCTCACCACGTCCTATGCATGGGCACCCCTGAAACCCTAACCCCGGCCCCTCCTTTGCCAACCCCGGGCCCCAGGTCAGTGCACCTCCCAGGCGCGGTCCCTCCAAGAAGACTCAGGATCCTGAACTTTCAAGCTCGCCCCAAATCTGTCCTGTGGATCTCAGCTGCCAAGTTCCAGCCAAACAAAGGCCACCTGGAGCTCCAGGTGCATATTTTGGGACCAAGTGGACACTGATGGTCCCAAGTCTGTTCCTGGTCGGTGCCCATGTTCATCATCACAGCAGTAGGTGGGGCGTCCCGTGCGCCCCTGTTGCCATCTGAACACTGACTGCCCCCCGCCCCTGCATTCTATGTGCTGAGAGGGTGACCGCTTCTGCCCGTCCCTGTCATTGTCCTGCCTCGTTGTTTACTGGAGGAGCTAAGGTGGTTTCTCCTGCAGCTACTTCTTCCCATGGTCACATCCACATGTTCCTTCTGCAGGATGGACGCTCCAGGACCAAGCCAGACGGTCTGTGTGTGTGGCTGTCCCTGCTGGTCCCAGGGACCCGGGTCCCCATCATGCAAGTTTGTTTTTCACTCCATGCTCATGTGTCAGTGGGGACTTCTGGACACGGGGCAGCCCTGCCCGCTCTCCTATTCCCACCCCCCAATCTCACCCTGTCCCCCCTCTGTGGGGATGATGGACTCGCAGGTCTGGGGATGGAAGGATGTTTGGAATGTGGTAATATAAAATATTTGCAATACATTGGTGGGAATAATGCCAAATAATATAATAAAACAAGGAAATAAATTTGGGTACTTGGTTATTAATAATTTTGACACCTATTGAGTGATTTATATAAAAATTTAAAATCATAAAATACCATTTGTCATATATCTCCTCCAGGCTCTGTTTAAATACTGTGATTTATTTTAAAAAATTGCTAACAATCCCTGAGTGATGGAGTGGGGAAGGAATCCCAAGTTCACGTCCATAAATAGTCACACGTCCCTGCCAGCCTCATGCTAGTATCAGAGCCATGAAGCCGTCAACATGTTGCCGTAAGAGTTTTTGATTTTCTACTTGCTCATATCTGTCATAGTGTGTAGGACCAATGTGCATAGCATTTTGAATTTAACAATAAATATTTTTTATTTTGCTCTGAAATTTCTTCCATACAATCTAATTCCATTAATTTTGTTATTTTGTTTAGTATCCAAAACACACTGAGTGTGATGATGCTAAAATTCTAGGTATGAATAAGAATTTGTCATATATCCCATAAATCAAAATCTTCTAATATGATAACTGTATTAAGTCAGTATCTTTGAGCATCTTAAATTACAAGAGAATATGTTTTCTCTCCCTGAGTCTCACCCAGCTGACAGGGCAGTGGGACATGACAACTTGGGCCCTGTCATCATTACTTGTCATGATTTACAAAGTAAATAGTTTAACTGCGGCACTTTCTCCAGTCTAAAATGGAGCTTGATTCTGAAAACATCCAAGTCTGAGTGGATTCTCCCCTGCAAATGGCTGGGGGCAGATACCTGCAGTCTGGGGGGAAGTTCCTGCTGCCGTGTCCTGTCTCTGTTCTAATGTTGCCCCCATGGCACGGACAGAGGGCGTCCCAGCCTCTCACTCCATGGTCAGGGCTCTTGGGGAGTCTCTGAGCACTCATAGGTTGTTTGACTCCATCCTGCACCACCTCATGGACCGAGCAGGTCCTCAGGGCTGGGTTATTTGAGCTCTGAGCTGGTGTGCGCCTGTTGGACCCTGTCCAGATTCCAGCCCCGAGGGACCTTCCTCCTGAGGGAAAGTGTGTGTTTACTTGACTGTGTTAATTGGAGTGTCCTGCAGTGTGTCTAAGCGAGTAATTATTACACTCGGTGTGTAGATGTGATGTTGTGTCTGGCTCAGCCTCTATGGATGTGAATAGACAAATCCTCTTGCCCAGGTTCTATTCCCCACCTGTAGTGTCCGCCGTGGTGGGCAACATCAGTCATGAGAGTGCCCTGAGTCCCTGTCTAGACAGCTGGACAGTCGACCATCATCCCCCGTGTGCCCTTCACAGAGAGGCCCTGGGGATGTGTGTGAGGGGGGATGTGGGAAGGCCTAAGGCGGGAGGGAAGGGACAGGGAGAGAGGAAGGAGGGAACCCAGGGAGGGGAGTTGGGTGGAAAGCCAAAGGACGTCCCGCAGAAGTGAGTGACCACGGGGGTCACCAGACCTTCGGGAAGAGAAACTTTACTTGTCTCTGAAATTGTGTATCCTGAGGTTCTTTTCCACCCCAGCACCTGTCCCTGCACTTACATTAGAATTGTCCTTTTGTTGGGATAATTTGCTTCTAATCTTTAGGAAATAGTATTTTAGGGTTTCTTCTCATGGTGTCATATACTTAGGTTTGCTGCATGACGATGGTGACGTCACACATGGAAACAGGTGTTTATCTGCTTGAGTTTACTCTTCTGTAGGGGGTGGGGCAGGACATGCTTCACTCTGCTGCGTGTGTCTGTCTGCTTCTCCCAGCACCATCTCCCCACTTTCCCTGCTCCCGTGCCTGCTCTGGTGCCTCTGTCATAGAGTCACTGTCCCTCCGGATGAGGGTGGGTTCCTGGACCCTCGTTATGTTCCAGTGGCCAGCCTGTTTTTGTCCATGTGTCATGCTGCTTTAAGTATTAGAGCTTTATTGTGTGGACTGGAGTCTGGAATGTGCTGCCTCCACCAGGCTTCCTCATTTTTGTCAGGTTTGTTTTGGCCGTTTGGGGTCTCTATGGTTCCATATACATTTGAACAAATTTTTTTTATAAATTTTATTTTTATATTCCCCATACAATTCCGAACCCTTATTTTGACCCCAATCCCTCCCCTCCCTGCCCCCCACCCCCCATAGAGGGTCTCTGGTTCATAGTTGTTTGTTGGTTTTGATTTTCACTTTCTTATAGTTATTCATTTTCCTGGTCCACTATTTAAGTTTTCTAGATTCCTGCTATGAGTGAGACCATCTGGTATTTTTCTTTTTCTTTCTGGCTTATTTTGCTGAGCATGATCCTTTCCAGCGCCATCTACGTTGCTGCAAATTGCATGTGTTTATCTTTTTGAATGCTGAGTAATATTCCATGGTGTATATGGACCACATCTTCTTGATCCAGTCATCTATTTTTGGGCATTTGGGTTGTTTCCAAAGCTTAGCTATTGTCATCAGTGCTGCTGTAAACATAGGGGTGCAGGTGCTATTTGGAATTGATGTTTCTGTGTCCTTTGGGAAAATACCTGGGAGAGTCATAGATGTAAAAGTCTTGAAAGACTTAAATCTTGTTTGCAGTGATGACAGGAGACGGGGTGCATCCCTGTCGGACATAAGGACCTACAAGACGACAGCAGCCCTGCTCACAGAGCCAGATGCATGTCCACCGGTGGCCAGACTCCACTGCTGACCACCACGTCCAGCACGAGCTAAACTGAGCAGGAAATGGCCCCTCAGAGAGCCCGTGGGCTTCTCCCTGACTCACGTGTATGTCATCACTCATTCGGGGATGGAAGGTGTAACACCAGCGTTTTCAGTCCTCAGCATTATTGTTTTATCTCGAGTGTCCTTTCATTCCTTACCCTTCCTCAGGAGTTATGACTTCCCTTGTTATTGAACACACTTCTGCCTCAGTGTGCTCGATGTGGTGTGCAGTCCTGACAGTCACACAACTCAGCAGTTGTCATAAATACACTAAATGAGGTCACAAAGCGATTAAGTTCTCCATCAGTGTTACAGTCTCAATTAAAGGGAAAAAAAATCCATTGAAACTCATCCTAGAATAAGTTGATGTTAAATAGAACAATCCGTGCATCAGAGAACATTATCCCTTTAGATATTTAAGTTCAATTATTTGTAAAATGAATGATTTGATATAGTTTTTCTCATTCTAAAATGATTCAGAAATATTAACTTAAATTTTTTTAATATTTTCATCGCTTAGTTAACATTGCATGACGGGGTGCACGCGACCTAGGGTGTAGCCCCCCTGCCGCGGCATCTCCACACCCACCACTCCGGCACCACAGGCCTCACCCGCCTCAGCCGCTGCCCCGTGCCCTGTGCTTGTGGACCTGCCTGGAACATCGGTGACTGGGTCAGCTCTGCGTTCGGGTCCGGGCCGCCCCAGAGGGCCTCTGGGTCTCTTCCGACTCTGGCATCCGTGACTTAGCACCGTTCCCTTAACCCAAATGACTTTCCCGGACACACACCAGCACAGCCCCCGCAGCCTGCTAGGAAAGTCCACTTGTCCTGTGGAGTTGGTGGCTCTTGGAATCTTTGCATCACGGGATACAATGTTAGACTCCCAGGATGGTAACTGTAGATTCCTCAGAAATCTCCGAATATTTAAGCCTCTGACCACTGGGATGACTCAGTAGCAGTACCAGGGGCCTGAGGAGCTGTTGTCTGCCCTGTTGGTCTCCATGCTCTTGTTGTCCGGGGGCTCCAGCCACTAGGTTCCTTACTACAGAGGGACAAGTGCATATATTTTTTATGTTGTTCACTGTCTTAATTGGTGTCATACTGTAGCACATCCCAGTGAGCAATTAGGGCACTGAGGGTGCAGGAGGCGATTTCTTAGTTTTTAGCCCTTTGTGGCCAGGACCTCCTCAGGGCCCATCACCTCCCCTGACTGCTTCGGGGACTAGGGGTGGCCCTGTTATCAGAGCCAGGACAAGCCCCATCCACAGGGATCTGGAAAGTCACCGCCACCCCCTGTG